TTTCCAGCCAACCGTTAATATCTAGCCGATTTTGAATTCAGATTATTTTTCAGGACCTTCGAAAGTACTAGTACACAACTTTCTAGAAGATTCCCAAAGTAGATATTTTCTGAAGTCCCTTGTAACAATAATAACATGTGCGTCTTCTCATTCATTGAAATTGGAATTTTCGAGTGAAAAATTCTGAAAACAAGCATCTTTTTTCTTTCGAAATTAATATTTAGCGAAATTCTTCCTATTAGAAAAATTTCAGTGTAGGTCTCGCCACGAAAAATTCTCAAAAATGAAATATTTTTTCCCAAACAAAAAGCCAAATCAAATTCTCTTTTTCGTAAACGTAGTAGCGAGACTCATCCGAAGAGTACTGCGTGCGTCGTTCGATCAAAAGAAGCACCGCAAAAATGGCGAGGGTTAATTTCGATAGGGTTGAAGGAGAATCGCTGATTCAGTTCTGGAAAAACGTTATAGTTTTGCAAATCGAATTAAATTTATATAAGTGGAACACACCGCACCGGGGTTTTCCACCGATATAAATGGAAGAGAGACAGAAAAATTCAGCGAAGGAGTCTCATAGCGAAGAAGAAGAAGGAACCGACGGATGAATGCAACGAAGGAAAGGCATGTTTCTGAGCAAATTTTAGGTTGTACGATTTGAGAAGAGAACAAAATTGTTGTTTCTCGGTACACGAGGAGAGATTTGTTACTATGATTTTTGAGGAGAACAGAAGACTTTTCTATACAATTATTAGTTTATTAAGAAGAAGGAGATAAATATTAAACAAATGACAGAAAAAGTAAAAGATGACAAATTACAAAAAAAACCGAAGATGAAAAATGACAGGGAGAGAGAATATCACAGAAACCGAATTATTGGAGAAAAGCTGCATCGAGTCCAGAACTTTCAACAAAAAGAGCCAAATCGATTGCCCTGGTTGTTCATGATGCATACCGGAAGAAAAGCAATATTATAAAACCCAAAAAATCCAAAAAAAAAACTTACTTAGTGGTTGAGCTCCCAGAACTCCTTTCTCTTCGCTTGAGTTCGCTTCTTCGTTGGCGGCTCCTCGTATCCACCATTGGCTTTGGCTGCCTGTGCCTTCTCGAATTCCATTTTCCGGTAAGTACGGAACGCTTCCATATTGATCTCCGGATCCACAAGAGGCATCTTTGGCATGTGACGGAGTGGTCGTGAGATGTATGGGATCTTCGGTGCCTTGCTTTCGTTGATTTTGAGTGGCTGGTACTGCATCGTTGGAGGCTTGGCTTTCGGGCAGAACTTGGAAGGCATTGTCCGTCTTTTCGTCATGAAATCCACTGGAGTAGCAGTTGGGAGTCTTTTTGAAATTCCAGAATCGTTGGAGGAGGATGTGGAAGAGGTGGAAGTGGTGGAGCAGCTGGATGACTTCTTTTTTCTCGAATAAGTGATCTCGAGGTCCTGGTCAGTGATCTTGGGGAGTTGATACGACATCGTTGAATATGAGGTAGATGTAGAAAAACGCAACCAAGAGGAGATGGTAACAGAATGAGTGTTTGTACTGGACCCACTCTCCTTATATACTAGTCTGAGATTGACTCCTAAGCTCCGCCCCCTATTGATTTTCTTGGGAACAATAGGGGTGTAGAGTACTGTAGATTAGTGTGATGGGTTACTGTCACTTTTATGGTGGGCAGGTGGATTGGACGAGAAGATAGTATCACCATGAGAGAATCTAGGGTCTGGGAATATTAGAATTGGGATACGGTTTTGATTTTGAAGGGAATTGAGGACCTAGCCATGTTGGGGGATGAGGTTTTGGAATAAAAGAGAGTCCATAGAAGTATGTACCCCCTCTCTTCTATCACTCGGTATGTGTCCAAGTGGCCTAGTGGTAAAGGCTATTGTTTTTGGATTTGATGACCCGGGTTCGATTCCGCGGCCCCTCAATAGTTTTTTTTTCTTTTTCGAACACAGCAGGACAACTTTAAAGGAAAACACAACGAACAGAAAAATTTCAAGAGGAATTCTAATATTATGCCAATCTGTATGAAAGACAGTTGTGGTCGATGAGAATGCAACATACCGGACGCCCATTATAGGAGTTTTTTCAAGAAAACGTACAGAAATCCCGATACAAACACCCACACAAAATGGTGCTTGGACTTATGGCCTTTATCACTTATATGTGTACTCAACACATACAAATATATGTTTTGATAGGACTACGCATATTTTTT